GTTGTACTGTTAGCGATAGTGACAATCAGTGACACATTTGAGGTGAATATACATACCATCTTGTCAACCAAATATAAAATCATAGCTACTTTATCTGAATTTACTGGGAAAATTAATTATGATAACAGATTATTTTTACAGTGTCAAAGACAATAAGGACGCTATTTTTATTCAAATATATAAAATCAAAACTTGGTAACAAGTAAATAATTAGTAATATTGAACTAAAGCTTAATATTTTGTACATATGAATTCTCAAATATTCGACAGGAATTTTTTTATAATTTGAATCTCTAATTGGTGAATAAACTCTGCACTCATCATTCGTTAATTGTACTAGTTTTTGAACTATCACCGTAATGTTATACTACGAATAATCTTTCTAGATATTTAAAATATGGAAAATAATGAATGAATATCAAAGTTTCTGTTATGACTACAGAATTTCATTTCATGGATAGACTGAATCAACATAATTTTCTACTTAAGCAAGTTAATCAAAGTTTACACTTAGATAAAATAATATAACGCATAAAATTATTTGGATAATTCAGTGAATGTAAATTGAAGACTAAATGTCTACGTTTGTTCATGCATGATCTGTTAACCAAAATGCGTACATTCTGTATTGCAGGAAATCTTAGAAGAGATGTCGGGATATCTAAATCTTTTATTGGAATGTCAACATTCATATTTCATTTGGTCTCTGTTGAGACCTTAAATTATAATGTGTCATTCACCTTGAAATATTTTTAGCAAGAATCTATTTCGAAATGCTCTTACACTAATTGCTATTTTACATGTATATATTTAATAAGCCTAGTGGTTAACAAGAATTGTCTATGTAAGATGATATGGAAGTTTCATGTCCTAAACTTGTCTCTAGTGAAACCTAGATCATATGGGTCCGTTTTCATAGTAAAATTGAGCTTAAATTACTAAATGAACATTCTTTTTTTCTATGAAAAACATACTTCTTAAATACTTTGTATTAAAACCATTACTAGTAATTATTAATTGTAACCATAACAGGACAATAGCTACCACACGTCTGGTTAATTGAGGTAAATTTTGATTAAACTATTTCCTATCTGTCACTGACGCAAACACACTCAAATAAAAGACAATTCATCTGAAGTACTTCCAATGCACTAGTGTATTAAAAGTAGTTTATCAAAATGGCAAAAACTCACGGATAAATAATAAGAGTCATTCTGAACAAACTGAAAATATCCATTACAGTGAAGCTTCATATGCCTAGATGTCTCACCATAATTATTTGCTTCTGAACACTTTGATTTATTTTCCTTTCTTCATCAGGATTTAACTGCTGTGGTATTATGTGACTTATTCCTTTAGAGTTGATCAAAGAAGGAAAACTCAGAAAAGCGTCTTCTTGAATCCCATTCACATCTTTAACATACACTGAGACGGGGTAAATGACATGAAGATTGTGTATTATAGCATCACATATGGCACGACAAGCAAGTCCAATAGACCATGAATTACAGCCTTTTAATCGATTAAGTTCTTCTGTACTTTTGATTGCCGATTCATAAACCAGTTTGCAATTTTCAGGATCACTTGAACATCTAATATGTGCATTCTTTGTAACTAAACGTGCACCAGCAATATTCACGGTACTCCATAAAGGTATACTATTTTCACCAAGTTCTCCAATTATATAACCATGAACTGATGAAGCATCCACACTAAATTTCTGACCAAGAAGATAACGGAATCTTGCTGAGTCCAAAATTGTCCCAGTGCCAAAAACTCGATGTTTTGGGAAACCACTGAGCTTGGCGGCTACATGTGTCATTATATCAACTGGATTTGTGACAATCAACAAAACACATTGAGGGCTATGATAAATAATCTTAGGGATTATTTCCTGATAAAGTTTAACATTTTTTACTAATTGTTGCTCAGGATTTTCGTTTTTATCAGTCCCACATGCTGTAACTACGATGATATCTGAATTTGTCGTCAATTTAAGGTCGGAACCACCAGTAATTTTACAGTATCCGGAGAACAGCTGACCCTGCATCAAATCCATGACTTCACCCTTTACCTTAAATTCATTGACATCAATTAGAGCAATTTCACCAGCCATATCGAGCAGAGAAAATGCAATCGATGTTCCAACTGCTCCACAACCAACAACTGATATTTTGCTACGATTCTTATATTCAACCTCATCAGAAGCAACAGGCCATAATAATGAGGTCATGGTGAGACCAGGAATAAGAGCAGACCGGAAGAAGTTTTGAAAGTATATTTTCTATAAACAAGTACACCTTGTGAGCTATTTTTGTCATGAAAAGAATCAACTGGTTAAATTATGTCTCGATTTAGGTTAGAATATCAGAATTGGCCAATAAGTGAATATAATTGATTTTCAGCATCTAGATCGTTTATCAAAAGCTGAACGAATGTTGCATATCATGTATATATGTCTTATTGTCTTTCTCGAATTAAGGACAAAACTAGCTAAAAGACAGACAGACGAAACATGGTAAATCAAATACGTCTAGGATAATGTAACAAAACGTGTACTTTATTCGCTAAAATTTTTGCGATAACGAAATGCAATTGGCGCAACAATATGACTAAAGTGCAAACTCTGGTAGTTAGAAATAACAAACTGAATATTATTTTGAATCTGCATTATGAGCAACAGTTGTATCATAAAAATGATCCAGTAAACACATTGTTTCCCCACTATTACAACATTTTCGAAACTACGTATAAATATAAAACTCCTTTGAAACATTTAGATAGTAAATAGTCTTAGATATCCTATGTATATTTGAATCACATCAGTACATCAGTTAAGGATTAAGGGAAGAGATAAATGATGTAAAAAGTCACAGTTTAGTCTAATTAGAAAGTTAATGCTTCAGTACAGTAACTTTTACCTGTAGACTCGAAGTTATTGGTGACGATTTGACTCATAATGAAGACAAACGATGGACAAATTGCGAATTAACTGCTATGAGAAAGAACATACACAACAATCCTTGTCACAATTCTCAGTGCATTGTATCAAGTTTAAACTTCGTAATACTCTGTGAATTTATGAACATTAATTTATTGGTTGGATGAAAGCTGATCGGTCTCAGATTAGCGATCACTGTTATGTTAACCGGTTCCTATACCAATCTACTTGTGACAATAAAATTGTTGTATTATTTGTACTTAACTGAAGTTTTACACTTGAAATGTGTATTTAGTCTAATGTGCATTTGACTTTCACAACTATGATGTTTTTTACGCTCAACAAATTCTTAGTTGATTTACATTTTCTAGTTTATCGTCCGTGTTAAAAAATAGAATTTCTCTATATGTGTTTTATTCCTCTTATTTAAGACTTTATAACAACAGTGGATAAGAAGTATTATGATATATTGATACTGTAAGGTGTTTCAGATCAATATGCAACATGCGACATGGTGCACTGTCCAGAGATTTCAGTGTGGGGCGAACGGTAATGGCAAGAGATTGCTATAGAGTAAATCCAACCAGGAAGATTGGAACTATAATCGACAGCAAAGGGAAAGTTATTTATGAAGTAAAAGTCGGAGAAAAGATATGGGTGTGACATAAAAACCAATTACGGTTGACCAGACAAGAGTGGGAGACTCGATGTGATTTAAAGCCGGCTATACCATTAAACATTAACCGAATTGGGTAATGAACCTAAAAATAAATCAAGTAACAAGAGAAAGTGTGTGACACAGCCAAGGCAGTTGCAGAGCATCCGACGAAAATCTGATCGAATAAGAACAAATCCTTATGATTTTTGTTATCCCTAATGCTTCAAAAAGGGGAGGTGTTATATCCAAAGAAGATTAAATTATGAGTAACTTCCGAGAACTATTTATAGACTCCAGCTCTGAGCTGCAGCTCAGAGAACAAAACTCCATCAAAATCATCCACCTGAGCTACAAATCTTTTCCACCATCTCAAAACTTAATGGCTATTATTATACGATTTACTACTATTAAGTTATTCTCAATCTTCGTTATGATTAAATAATACCACCAGCCAAAATAATAGTTGATGGAGAATATTTGATTAAAATATTTAACTCAACCAACTGGCTATGCGAGCAAACACTCAATTGTTATATAATTTAAGGTAATTCACTTGACTGAGTTATCTCCAATTTGGTGAAACCGTGTATGCACAACCAACATAATATGTAATTTATTAGTCGTCGAAGTATTAAAAATTGAATGCAGAATATAAAACCCATTTATTTACTTTAAACTAAAACTTTGCAGTAGTGACTCATTTAACAATAAGTTTAGATTTATTTATTCAGCTCCAGTTGATTTATATGATATTAAATAAATATATTCGTAGACAGGTATGATTTAAATGTAGGTAGAAACAATCTAATGTGTAGATGCACACTTACTAAAATAAATATTAGGAATCTGCCCACTTTAATAATCAGTATATTCACAGTGATTTAAGTTGCTTGTAATCAATAAGCTATTCATATTTTATCAAAAATTTATTTAGGACACTACCTTTCTTAACATTTCACAAGTATTATATGAAAGAAAAATGTATTGCCTACATAAAAAATCTAGTTTTTTTTATAACACGTTGTCTCCAAGTAAACATTTTTCCATTTAAACTAACTTTTATGCTGCATTCCCCTTCCTCAACAAAAACCAATTGTTAAAAACATCTAAATAAGAACTGGGCACGGTCAAAATGCATATAAAGGGTAGTGTGCTTCATTACTTTGATTATTGCCCCAGTAGGGCAGACCGCAAGTCCAGACAGCATGTGTTCAAATATTTTTGGAAAATATCCTATTTTCTTCCTCTTTTGGGTTCCTGATTGGACTGATTCACTAAAAAGTTGATGCTTTCGTTGTGTTTATGTTTGTGTGCAGGTATTCACTAATATTCACACTGGGAATCACACAAACACATTAGGAACCTTAGTGTTTATTTGGGTGAATCGTATCGATTGAACACATACCTTTCTGCCAACTAAGTGAAACAGAAGCTTCAGTTTATCAAATATATTTTGCTATTTTAATAGTTCGGTCATTAAGTTTCGAACGGAAAGAAGAGTCTGGTAAGTGGAAAATCTAACGCGTATGTTGTTTAATCTACGATTAACTACGTTATATTGTTTAGGATTATTTCAACCTTTTTTTCAAATTAGTCTATGTTCAGAGTTCTATGGTGTCATTAAACCAAATTTAGAATTGATGTATTTCAGTGCCTTATAATCATTTGCTACTTGAGATTTTCACCGGATGCGTAATGCTTATAAGACTGTGGAGGATGAATATATTAAAGAAATTACTCCTTTCCACACATTTTCATTTAAAGAGTCTACAAAATCCCAGGCTTTATTGCTGAGGCTTCACATCATAAATCTTTAACCTAAACTCTTTATTAGTTGGTGATTTAAATATGTAAAGTAATTAATAGATGTATAATATGGAGTTTTCGAGTGCAACTTATTGTTAACAATGGATCACCAGTTACGGTTAGCATTACTAATGTATGTGTTGTTATATCACTTAAATAGATAATAGATTTAGAAAATCAACTACATACAGTTTCTATTTTATCCCAGTTATCACTTAGACTTATTGAATGAAATAATAAGGTTTCCACTATTTAAGAATACAACAAAATACAGCATCTACAAGAAAGTAAAAATATATATAAGAGTTTCGATAAAGCTAAAAAGTCGGTAATAATGAGCATCAATCATGTATTTTGTAGCAAATAGTTATTAGTAATCAATTGTTGAGTCCAGCAATTTATGTTGGTTTGGCTCTCCTAAATTGCTAATAATTTACTTATTGGATATTATTGAATATTCTGAGAAAACCCATAATTATTGTTACCAATTAGCACATAATATGTCTCCAAGAGATCACTTCATTTTTAGAAATAAAAGGGATTTGATGTGCATTATTAACAGTAGAAGAGTAATAAAGATAAGGTGCTGCAAGATAAATGACTATGATAGATTAATACATATATCACTATCACATACTCAACTACTCAAATTTTCATGTTTACTTGAAGGATTAGCTGATGTAGAACGAAAGGTTTGTTATTTGTATTCATTTAAAACTGACTAATCACAATATGCTCACCGGATATTATATACAGTTCAAACACCCATTTGTTGTCGAATGGAAAACGTTCTGAAGTCAGTTTTCGTCGATAACATTAGCTAGCGAACCATGTAATGGAGAACCGAGGATCCAGTGTGAAAGCTTCAGCTGCACTCAATGATGACTTCAAACAGATCATAACCTATATATCTCACGACAACAATATTTATCCACTGAGTTGATATCCAGTATTCCATAAGAGATTGTTAGCTAGTCCTTTAGTTCGCCAAACATCTAATATTTAACATTATTTTGTCGGGGTAAGAGGAGAACTATTGTTGTTCTTTAGTAACTCACCTTCCACAGACATAGTCAATTCTAACAATCTTAATTTTGTGACCGTTTCGGAGACCAATACTATCTGGACCGTCAATCATTCATTTTACTGATAAGTTATGAAAACCTCATTCAACATCAATCCTTCAAATTTTGTTCGAACGATTTCAATTCTGAAATGACTAACAACAATTCTAATTTCATGAAATATAAAGCCATTTCTTATTCATGGAAATCCTCAAGATTATATCAATATCCTTTTTATTATATTATAAGGACACACAAGCTGAAGGTTTTCACGAATACCCAACAACATTCACTGTAAGGAAGTTATTAAAGTTAATTAGATCACTTCTTAAGGCATTCACTCTATCACAAGGAAAAGAAATCATGTTCACTTCAACTAGCCCCCTAAATAATAACCTTATGGTGCCCAGTACTGTATCGTCTGCATCAAGTGACATTATTATTTCTTCAACTACTGGTGTTCCAGCTAATTTCATTAGTTCCACTGGCTCATCAACTGCCCAACCATCTGGAGTCACATATACAAAGGACCATGAAGACATTCAATTTTCCAACACAACATCTGCATGCTTGAATCCTGTAGCAGACATCTGTACCAAAGTAATCAATGAAGTTGAAGCAACCAATATATTAGATCCAATTAACTCACATCAGGTAAGTTATTATAGCTATAAATATATACCATTTGACCAGTATACATACAATGTTTCTATAGCATAAGTCACTCATGAATTGATCTTCTATTTTTGAGCCAAACTGAACATCGCAAAAATTTATTACAGATCATTGTATCACTGTTCACTTTAAAGGACGGGAATTCGAAATCCTATTATTTATCATTTGGTACAAGATTCTTTAAGTAGATATGTGGTGGATTTATTAAAGAGAATTCAAAAAGTTAAACCAAATGTATAAATAACTATTGTCATTTAATTAAGTTCGGATAACCAAGATTCCAAATACATTCAATAGTCTCAGGTCCCACGTGGATATTCATAACAGGGTTTATCTATCTATTTATTTTTACCTATGTGTTTATCTTTCATTATCAGTAATAGCTTAGTTTGATATAATGTTTTGAGTTCAATAGATCAATCATTCAATAGTTAAAATGTACTTAAATCAAATTACTAGTTAAACGTAAATATAAAATTGTCACCATTAGATTCCAGTATTTTTCATGTATGTTACAAGCGCATACCATAATCTTTATATCAAAACTGTAAATCACAACGTCACACTCGTTAATCTGAGTCTTTGATAATCACAGTTTTAAATCTGTAAGAGTAAGATAATGGACTGAGGTTCATAGACCTAATTTCAACAAGTTTCTGTAGTACATGATCACGATTTAACTACTCATTGTAACGTTAACTAAAACATAAAAAGGTTACATATCCGGAGACCTCACCTTCTTTAACTGTTCGCACTGATAACTTTAAATGAATCGTGCTATACCATTATCAAGCAAAGAGCTAACATTCCCTCCTACATTCCAACTATTAAGTATATGATTCCTACTAACTAATTCACCATATAAATTAAATTCCTTACGTTAATACCCATAGATCAAGCCGTATTTGGTTTTTCAAGTGACTAGTCCGTTGTTCTAATTGACGAGTTAGCAAATACCAGATGTAACCAGGTCTAAATTTAACTTTTATTGGGTTGTTAAAATTCTTATTGCCCATTCTGTTATCGTCCACAATTTAGTTAAAATGGTTTAAGAGAGTCTAAGCACTAATCGTTTGATTGTTCCTTATCTTCCATTGTTGTATTGGGTCATTGCAATTGTTGTGCCGGAAAATCGCTGATCACTTATACGCGGAACGAGGGACCTCGGCAATTCCCACGATGCGAAAGTAAGAACACAAGACTAGTATAAGTGAAGATTTATTAGCCCCAAACACGACGACGACGATGATCGAAATAGTCTAAAATACACTGGTTTATATACACCCATTTTGATTAATAATTAGGATTAAATCACATACTCAGTCATAACAAATCACAGACTGATTATAGTTCGTATCAATGGAATATAAGAATATCGTATATTATACAGAATAAAATATGATACAACAAAAGAAAACAAATACTACAGTAAATGATCATCACATTGAATTAGAAGGGAAGTAATGTTGAACAAAACTTATAATGAGTAAATCAATCGAAAATTGACTTTTCTTTACATCATATCATCCATCAAGTCACGATTCAATACTTAAGCGGAATATATTGCACATATAAATAAACATCTAATTTCTGTTTTCATCAATTCCGGCTATGTTTATCCTGTCGAAAATGTCTTATTCTATAATTTTAGATGATTAAAATGAGCTTCGTGATCACGGCATAACAATCGTTTGTACAAAGAATACTACACGACCCAAAAAAATTTCATAAAACAAACTTATAGACATCCTAAAATTATTTGAAGGCCACCGCAAAAGCTCAGCATACTACAAAGGGAGAAAGTATTCCTCCACGTTTAAATGAATGGAATACTAGACAATTTTTAAGTACTCATATGCTTTGTATTCATGTTAGATTGATAAATCCCGTATATATATTGAAAAATCATACTAGATAGAGGTCATTTTTCAGAAACGATGGAAGTATTTCTGGTCAACAGAGTGCCCAACTGAAAGTAAAGCTAAGAGAAGAAATATGCCAATTCCACATGTACCGATCCTCCTGATGTAGACGATAGTCATATTTTTCAAAATTTGTTTAACGATGATTAAATATTTGTCTAAAACTGTCACCGGCAATTCGAGGAATTTGAGCTGAAAATGATTTTTTTAAACCATCATTTATTTACTTATCAATTTACCTTGTGAACAGGTAATTTCATTAGCAGAGGGATAATTCTCTTATATACGATTCATCATATAAAAGTGTTTTGCCCATGGGTCTAAATAAGTTATCACTTACTGCTGAATGTGAAAAAGCGGTATTCAATTGAAGCATTGTAGATAAATGCCTACTTTAAACAGCAATTTTAATAGATTTCTGAATATTTGATTTAGGTTGCCTCATTGGAAGCTGCTGTAGCAGCAGCAGCTGCGGCCTTGGTTGTCTCATCGAAAACTTCCACAATAATGTCACCGGTTTCTACTTATGGCGATCCTACTAACCACCCAGCTCACCTAACTGACTTGTCAACGAAAGATGCTAGTTCTAATGCTCATGTACAAGATAAAACAGAAACGAGCTACTCATTTACTACATCAAGCTCTTCTATAACTCAGAATCACAAAGTTCCATTATTTTCCTTATGTGGAGATTTAAACTTGCCGCTGATTACTTCAACTGCAATCACATCTAGTGCTTCTCCTTCAGTCACTAGTTCCATCATGAATTCCGGAACAGCAGCCGCTTTAGCAGCTAATCTGGTCAATGTTGGGCCTAAACGTCTTCATGTGTCTAATATTCCATTTAGATTCAGAGAGGCAGACCTTCGTCAGCTTTTAGGAGTAAGTTATACGAAATTTTACACTAAACATAAAATTAAGGTTATTATAAGTAGTTTCCTTTTTCAGTATCATTTGTTAAACTAGAACATACTTCTCATTTGGTCAAGTGTATGTTGGATATAACTAATACCACAAATGTCCAAAACGTTTCATTGTGTATTAGACTGATAAAGAGCTCATTCTTCATGACAAGTATACAAGCAAACAAATCGGTAGCTAACCAATACTATCGGATATAAGCCCAATTACATTAACCTATTAACCAATTTTAATAACAATAACAGTTAAGAATCCAATTTTTCGTAATCACTTTGTAATCTTTATGATTAATTTGAAGTGTAACTGAAGATAACATATCTAGTCACTCATCTTCCTTCATTTTCCTTTCTTCTGACTACTAATAGCCATTTGGTACAATATTGGATGTAGAAATTATCTTCAATGAACGTGGTTCCAAGGTATATTTTTTGATTTTTAATTTTAGCATTATTTATTTGTTATTCTGAAGATATAATCAACATTGACTGATATTTTGGAGAGATAATAAAACGTCCGATAAAGTGACTTTTAGCAAAATGCCTTTTTATTTAAAGTCCTAGCAAAATCTTCAAATACTCATCGATGATTATGATAGTCCGTATTCTCTTGCAATAGTCATGATGAAAGTAGTAATCTGAACGATCATTATTGGTAGTAACTGACAGTTATCAAACAATAAGGTAAAGTATTCGCGGGTTTTGTTTCTGAAAATACTTTGTGAAAGTTTTTGGTTGATTGAAATTCCAATGATCGGGAATTATCATCAAAAATGAAAAACCATTGACAACAGGAATTTAAATCAGAAATACGAGAAAACTAAATTACTGAGTCTATTGCATACTACATTCCTTATTTTCTATGATTACTATTGGGAACGCATCCCCAATTTCTATTAGAATTAAGACCATATTTTGTAATTTTTTATGGAGGTATTTAATAATCGAACAGCCGTTTTTAGCTTTAACTACCATAGGTTTTCAGTTGATAAAAAGAAGTCGGAACTTGAGGTCTAATTCTAAGTGGATAGATAAGATTATTGTTCAGTAACCACCTCCCTTTGATATTTGTCACCCGCCATTCTGGAAACCCTGAATCGGTTAACCTCGATAAGTACTTAAGAGATTAAGTTTGTGAGTTTTACGTTGAGTACTGAGTAGGTAATGTTTATTTATTCTATCTTAAACTTTAACATATATACCTATAGTCAGCTATTATAATTATTTAATAAAATTGGTCAAGGCATAGGAATAGTAGTAATTTTTCCCTTATTTACATCATTATTGGACAGTTGAGTTCAGATTTCACTATTTTGCTCTTTTTTTTCTTCCATGGACATCTTTCAAATTTTAATTTTCTTTCATAAGCCTGATATTTAAACAAGTACCCTCCTCTCTCTTCATTGTGTTTGTTGATAGGGTTTTGGTTTCGTCACATTCGCAACGGGTGAAGAAGCTGATCATGCAAGAGAAAATCTAAATGGCACGGTAGTTGAAGGCAGAAAAATTGAGGTAGGATCCTACTGAGATATTGTAAAACGACACGTTAGATTACGGAACCAAAAAATAAAAAATACATTGTTTAAACATCCCAATCCATGCGATACTTGTTTACTTAAATTAAGGTTACTTGCACAGTAAATCTCCACTTATTTATGAAAAGGATTTGTGAAAGACATATCTACACGGAAAATCATGACCTCAACTAACTGAGTCATTCTTTCTGTATTTCACTCTCAGTCCATCATACTAACCACATACACAATTATTGCTATGACCTTTGGTGCTTGTTTGTTAGTAAAGGGTACATAAAAAAATCAATTCAGTTAATGTAGTGTAGTGAAATAAATGAATGTGTTGGCATGTTCTAATTCATACTGATATGTCTTCAAAAACGTGTAAAAATCTATGCTACATTAAAATTGTGTTCATTTGTTTGCTTTCTTACAACCTATTAAAATTTGCCTCATTGAATCAATATTCTTGTAAATCATCGACTTGGCACTTTCTATAGTGGAAAATTGTGTCTTTGATGAGGTGAAATCTTCAAATAATTGGACAAAACGCTTCTGGGAATTAAACTACTGGATATCTTTTCACAACATATATTGTTTAAAACTAACCGTTTGCTGCCAATAGTCAATTAGTTATTAACCGACAGATGGAAATTTTTCTAATGAACATAAGGTTGTTTCACTACTTCGAATTAGTTTCCAAATGTTTGAAAGTAGAAAGTAATAGACAATTGCTTTGTCATTCTTCGGAGGTATTCATCAATTTTAATTCATAACACTTGTTTATTAAAAAATCTGGAATTTATAAACCCTTATACAAATACTTTAGGTTGAAAAATTATTGGGTCAAATTGTAATAACTGATATTTTTGCTCGAGCGATTTGCTGTATAAGAAAACGTTCTTTATTGTCATCTACATTACTGTTATAATCAAGCGCCAAGCAGATTTAGGAGGCTGAATTGCAAACCAGTCATTAGTGAATGTTCAGAGATTTATCCAATCCCATTTTGATACAACTCTGGATACCCTACGATACTATAAGTTATTGAAATTCACCACCCGCCTATATCAACTTGTTATTTAGTCCTCTTAATGTTATGTTTTCCTAAGCGTAGGATTAAAACTAATTTTAGAATTAACTTATTGATTGTTAACCAATTATATTTTAAAAGTTAATTTATGTTTCGAAAATTCCAGTTGACATGCTGACTCCACTTTTCAGTCACGAGCTGTGAAATTTGTAAAGAACATTATGTGTTCATTTGAAGACCCCTTAGACCAATAGACTAGTACTTTTGTCATACAGTCAACCTATTTAATAGACAGTGGGATATTAGATAGCATTTATCAACTTGGTCACTTCTTAACTGAATTAATCTTTTAAAAACAACGTTTGATTAATCTTTGATGAACAAGATGACTGAAACTGAATCACTTCAAAAACCGTTGTGCTACAGAAAAACTCTTCAGAAATTATTGTCGAAATGAGATTCATACACTTGACATACTCTAAACTAGTGGTGAAAATTAGTTGTATTCTCCAGTTCACAAGATTCATTATATGACTCACTGTCTAAAACTGTTATTTCCACTTAATAGTGTGGTGATATGACTTAAATTGTGATCTTTGAAAATAACACGATAATCATTCGACCAGGTTTCAATGTTATAGGTGGAAATACTAACTGTCAAATTACAGTGTATATGGTAGATTGATTTTAAAGTGATTTTCTATCAAAAGAGTTAGAAATTTTCTAATCAAGACATCATGTACTCATACTTTGATAACACAATATGTTAATTGCTGATAGTCGTATATGTAAGTTAACCAATTACACCTCGAAAATGAAGTATCATAGAGTAAAATAGACATCATGTATTTGTAAAATCTCAGCGAAAGAATTTGAAGTAAATCCAACGTTTCGCCTGGCAATTTGGCCCAAGCTTTTTCAGGGAAAATATAATCAAGCAACAAAATTATGGAAACGTTGGATTTACTTCAAATTCTTTCGCTGAGATTTTACAAATACATTCTTCCTCTTTAATGACTCACATTAACTCGGCGCCCAAGTATTTTGAAACTATTCGTCCAAATTTAGACGAAAGTTCTTATTTATTCCTACACTTTAATGTTTAGATATTGCATTATGAGTTAAGTAAAATGGCGACATAGTGAAAAATGAATAACAAAATATTTGAAATGCATCCTACACTTTGTATTATTTTCATGGTAATTTTAATTTTTGATCATTCTTCTATGTGCAAAACAATCTGTTTCTAGTATGCTGAAATTCACTCTCGTTCAGTAACATCACTGGTCCAATACCCATAAGACGACATACTGGTAAACAATACTGTGTGTTATCAGTCAATGAACATAAGCTTTTTCATTATTTGAATGCGCAATTCTGTGTGCAAAGCCTATGTTACTTAGTCAAATATTTGTTGGTTCATTTGTGAATGTGTTTGTGTGTATGATAATGCACTGAACACAGGTGCATATAGATTGAAACTACTCACTACGTAAGCATGTTAATACCATAATTACGACAGATTAATGTATAACGATAAATTAGAGCTTGAAATGGGTAACTTCATGAATCACAATTATACCCCAATCGTTTTGATAATTTGGAAAGTAATGTTGATTGTAGTTTGAATCATTTTTTATTTGTAATGTTTAAGTCACATACTGATGTATATTATCAATTCTTTTTCTGTGGTATAGTCTTGATAAAAGTTCTGTAAATTAATGGAAAAAAGTGAGCCGCTAGTATATTATCTGTATGGCAGCTTTGAAATTTGATTTTCTACCATATAACTTTAAGGCATTTTAGTAATTTTTTTCACTTTCGAGTGACTGTAGATTTGTTAGCATTTATGGACAATATATATTGAAGCTTCTGTTGTCGAATGAAACCCTTCAGCTTAAAGTTAATCTATGTTCCACATTTAGAGCTTTTCCGATAACTATTTGACACGCATGACTTTCGCGGCACGCCATTTGTTCACAGAAAAGCGATTTAATCAGGTTCGCATGTATAATTACTTATCTGTTTCTATGTTGATAAAGTGTTTTTTTTTCAATGCTGATACGTGTGACATTTGATAGACTGATCAGTTGATGCATGTAATGCTGCATTACCTTAAATTTAGTGCCCTATGGTCGATAAAATCAGCTTTAACGAGGTTAAGGGGAATTCAAGAGTTATATAATTAGGCTACCAATGATATGAGAGTATTTGATGTGTTTAAGTCCAGTGATGCACGCAGCTTCATATTACTAACTAAAGTACCGGTTAATTATGTCTTTCAATCAGGAGGCTTACATGAAATCTTTCTAATTTGAGATTTATTATGCGAATTATGGGGGAAACCGCAAACCTCATCTGGCCTAGTTATCTTCATCTCTCTTTACGAAAAACATAGTGTCTGTCTTTATCTAATAAAGGATAGTTGAGTAAGTTATGAAGTCATTTTTGCTGTTTGATTATGATCTATAAGCTTTATAAAGTTACGATGTACATCGTATTATTGTCACTGATATATGTCATACAATGGATTATGAATATGATTTTATGTAGATATTTAAAAAGCATTAAGCGATTGGATAATTTCTAGGCAAGATCAGGAGAGAGGTTAGTGAACCACGAATTCTTTTCACACGTTGATTTTTAATTTAACTAAGCTGAAGGTATACTATCTTTAGGGAACACTGACATTATCTGACTGCTTACTTCGAAAGTTAATCATTCAGCAAAGTATAAAAGATTTCCAACTTTCTGTCACTGCATTCTAGTTTGATGAAGTAGATTAACACTCGTTGATTACTTCAGTCTCAAAGCTGTACTTTGTTACCATTGATAATGGAACTAATAAAACTCATTTAGCAAAGTACTACTAGTGACAATTCAGGCTTTATATTGAAATAAAAGTAGTAGAGACAAACCGAAATTCTTAACCAACTGTTTTGTTTCCAAATGTCCGTCGAATAACATTAATGCTCAATGAATCATTTATAGCTTATTACTTATATTTTGCGAATTTTTACCTTAAAACGAATTTTTAAACAAATTTCTGATACTCATTTTAAAAGAAGATGGCTGAAAGGTACCTTAGATATGAGTTTTATGTTTGTTAAGATTCATTAAATAGGTATATTTCAAATCTTGTTCAAACTTATTATGTAACTAACTCAAGTTCTACCACGTAATAGCTGAATGTCGAAATGTTTAGACAGATACAAGTCCGATTTACAAGTGGTAAGAAATAAAAATTGACTGACAACTATCGACTTTATCTGTTATACGATTTTAGTTTGTCCTAAATTCATCGACAAAGTCTTTGAGGTGTGTATTTATTTACGCCAAACATTTCAAAGTAGTTACTCTAACTTGTTTTACATTGGATTAGTAATTATTTTCATTACCGCTTCAGTTGTTTATTGGTATCTACTTAGCGGTTAGATACTCTTATGTTTGTACTAAAAATCTGAACCTATATGTCTGCATGTCTATCCATTTTCTTACTAGATTAATAATGCTACTGCGCGGGTTATGACAAAGAAAAAGTCTGAATCACCTACACTCCTGAAAAGTAAGTTCATCTTATCAATAAAGTATGGGATTTAAAACTGTAATTTAGATAAGAATATATGTATTATATTTTTTGGGGCAAAAAGAGTGGTGCATCATCACAGATGTTAGCATGACAGTAATTAGTATGACCGCTTGTATGGTAGAAAGTAAGACCATTTCAATAGTTCCAAATCTTCTTCAGTGCCTTTTAGTTATGTACATTGTTTCCAAAGGTTCAAATATATTGATTTCTTATCGAAATTTTACGTAATATACGAAAGATCACTACTAGTAATGATTAGCCATGTTAGAATGCTCTTTTACAATCACGTTATTAGCAACGAATCAGGAAACAAAAGTGAATCAACACAGTGATCAGATTACCAGCATTTAATTTATGAACCTAACTGGTATCTATCTATTAAATATGTTGCATAGTTTCATGTTGATTATATTCTCTGAGTATATAGTTTGTCATCTTTACTATTGTGAATTATTGTAGGATCAACAAAGTTAGCGGATTTTTAAGATGGACAAAATTTTGAAATTCGTCTGCTGCTTTTAACGATACGATATCCACCTTGCTGAATAATTTGGTTATTAAGCTTTCACTATCATTACATAAAGGATTATTAGTGTAAACTTATAAAGTAAGATCGATCTGTTGAGTTCTCAGACCAGGTATATTAATCAATTTGTTTGGTGCGAACATTACGCTTTACAACTTGATATCATAGCGTATTGTCCTTGATACTTGAATGTTAATGACAGCCTATAAGAAGTCTACTGCTTTGATAACCAACATGAAAGCAAATGTGAAAACTTTTTAGTTTAAGATCTGAGCTTACACCCTTCTCTATAATAGTTAGTTGTCATAACTAAGTTAGATTCTCGCTTTTAATTATTAGCGACAACCTATGAGAATACAATATCAAAGGATTAGTTCCAATTTCTGCGGAAGGGTGAATTTCACTAGAATTTTAAATGTACTATGTCAGTGAACGTCATAAGATTCAAAGATTGAGGTTAAAGCCCTCATTTAACTTACTCTAATTATGCTATACAAATACGTGAACTTTTACTGCCCACTATCTACGGAAGTGAGAAATTTCAAAGTATAGTAATGAACTGCTTTCCCATGGGGGGACTTGATTAACTGTAAACTCATTATTGAACGACCTCCACAAACCCTCACTTATGATGTTTGTGTTCGCAATATTGATCAATTTCGAAAGGAAATCCCCGAAGTCCTATTGAGAAGCTGTGACCAATAGAATTTAAGCGGGCCGAGTATGAAACAGATAACACCGATGGCAATGTATAATGTTAACATAATACGACGCATCAACTAAAGTCGAAAATGTAAGCCACTGAGTACCAACTGATTGGTTGAAGGGTTAAGTGTCCATCGCAAGGATTTAGATTAATGGAGTTGATTCTTCTAAAAACAATTGTCCAGTGCTTCCTAGTTTTTAATACTTGTTTGGACATAATCAGTCCGTTTTGTACACTGCCAAACGAATAATATCTATAAGATTTTTATACGACTAATAATATCTCTGGGCTGTATTCATGAACGGAAATAGAAGCAAATCCATTCTCCTTTTACGCATCCATTTCCTCATTTCTCGAAAAATTTCACTTGTGCATTTGACTGGACCTTCCATCATCACTTGTGTAACACTGTTACTCGATGTTTACCTACTCTGGAAATTTTATTTAATTTTTTTTTCAATAAGTAGTAGAGTTAGTTCATCGACACTTCATAGTGCTTACATTTCAAAATATTTTTATTTGTTAATGTCATTAATTTTAATTTTTGTCGCTTAAGAATATATGAAAACTGATATTGAAGATTTCATTGTGTTATTTTTTAAAATTCAAACCCAAGCTAACTTAAGTACCATTTGGTTGTTCCGTTATTTTAGCAGCAACAACGCTTCGAGGTGTCAGAGCGCTTGTACCAAGTACGTCTTCGACAGCTGCGATAGCTGCTGCTGCTGCTGCATTGCGTGGTGCAGCAGGGATTACGTGTGGATTACCAGTAGTTTCAATGCCAACACCCGGCAACCTAGCATCCATGGTTGTTGGTTCAGGACTTGGTGGACTATTACAGAACCAAGGTTGTTTTGCAGCCGCTAACCCAACACTAACAAATATAGCTGCTATGCCTGCTGGTAATACTTTTAATGCGAATCAAGCTTTATTAGCAGCTGCGATGGCAAGTGCTTCAGGAACACCCGTAAATTACAATCCTGCAGCTGCAGCTGCATTCTGTTTAGCTGGAGCTGACCCAAACACCGCAGCTTTACTTGCTAGTTATGCTGCTGCAGCGTTCGGAGGAATCGGAAGTCCAAGTCCTGGATGCCTTGGGACCAATAATGGGCCCGTTAGTGGAACTACACCGTCAACCGCCATCCAAACGTTTGGATCACCGTCTCAAGCACCCGGTTTGACAAATTCCTTGGCTGCTATGGCAATGTTCCCCCAAACGGGAACTCTTTTAGGACCTAATGGTCATACACCACTGGTAAGCAATCCATCCCTTACTATAATAATAATGATTCAGACAAGCGCCAATTAAAATCATATGACACTAATCAACATAATTTCACTTAACAACGTGTACAGTCTGGTATTTATACCACTGGTTATAAATGTATTATTTTTATTAATTCATGATCTCTATACGGCGATATATATTTGTGTCCGAACCGATTAAGTTATATATATAGTTATATACGTAGTCGTTAGGAGTTGGAACTATCACATAATATATATCCCCTAACCATTTTCTACTCCTGTTCTTCAAATGACACCAGCTGTTGATAACAGTTAAATTTTTATTATACCGCAAAAGAGGAAATCTTAAATTTTCAATAATGGATTTTTTATTTTTATTTTTATTTATGAACTGCGAATCTTAGATATGTCTCTCCGTTACTTTAATAGGTTCAGTGGTTTGATCCTAATTCAAATATGGGTGTTGAACTAGAATTACAGCATCGTATTCAACAGCAACAGCAACAGATTCAAGCAAATCAAAGGGCTCTGGCAGCGGCGGTAGCTGCTGGTTTTACTCCTGTAAGTCTTCCTGCCACGAATACGATTGAAAACTTGACGGGGTCGATTTCAGGGAATCCAGTTGGATTATGTGGTGCCTTTTCACCTTCCCAAGCAGCTGCAGCTGTAGCTGCAAATATGTTGAGGGCTTTCTCAAACTCAACGAATTCGTTTAATGCTACCAATCTAACGTCGAACAGATCTGTCACAAGCAACTCAAATGTACTTGTTAGTTCAGCTTCCGGTTCTCAGAATGCTACTGCTGTACAAATTCAGGCAAATGGTGCTCATACCTCAATTTCTGCCAGTCAAGTCGCAGTCAGTGGGTCAAATACACCAGGGGTAGTCCAGGCCTCACTTTCTGGAACAAATCAACCTGCAATGGCTGCTGCAGCTGCGGCAGCTGCAGCTGTTGCTTCTCAACATTTTCCCACACAAACATCAGTTAGTCCAACAGTGATGTCGTAAGTATATGGTTTAAAATCAGGTGTTCGTTATAATGTTTAAATGTCTTATTATTATGCAGATCATTAGTTAACACTGATTTGAAAGGCTTTGGTTCAATGTTTACTGGTTTATTTATATATTCTTCAATAACAGCAATATGAAAGACGTTGTTTTATCAACGAATTGTAATCTTTAAATTCAGTCAGATAGACTGGATCAAACCAAAAGAAACGATAAAATTTTATGATTAGTGGTTGTAGACTAAACTGGTTTGTGAAAGTAAATTATCTCATCGTAAACCTAACTGCCATAATTTATCATTTGCAAATACAATATAATAAAAATATTACACCAATTCTTGATATTCAACTATAAAGTGATACTGATATCTTTCCATGTCACACTTTCTTGTTGATTTTTGACAAAATAGGGATGTTTTTAAACGGCGAAATTATTTGCTAACACAATTTATTGTCAGCTATACATTGGTTAAAAACTGAGTTGATTGATTAGGCTTATTTCCTATTTCACAACAGCTTTTACCCATAACTGGTCTCGAGAACGTAATTAGAACTATCAGTCTGGGTGACCGATCTGACACACAGAAGTTTTATCAAGGACGTTTGAATTAGGTTTCTGTTAAAGGCATCTCCTACTCAAATCTACTGCTTTGAAATTTTTAAATCATCGTTTTATGAAAACCAAGTTAGCGAAATCGATTCCCACCTGTAGGGTTGTGGATGCGCATTGCTAAGGAGTCCCATACTATGACGAAAAGGCTGTCCAGTGTTCCCAGGTTTTCACTGCTGGCCTAACGTTGATCAGTTCATAATTTCAATGAAAATTGCAGACTATTAAACCTATACTGTTTTACTACTTATAGGAGGTGCATCTGTGTATCAAGTCGAAGCAAAGGTCATGACTCTTCTACGGATAATGTCATGTTTATTCTTAGTCCTACCTTCGTAAAAAAATGTAAAATATTTAGAAAATCGGTGATACAGTGATCCAAATAATGTCTTACTGAAACTTGTCACTTGGAACTCTACTGTTTTATAACTCATCAAAAGAAAAACTTTATCTGAAGTTCATTTTATCATGAGTGTGATGCACTAACATACGTTATTGTTTAATGACCCAAATTGTAGAAGAACAGTTTCAACTGTCAGGTTATTTGCGCCACTAGAGTAAGTACTTATTAACTAAAACCCATTTAGTTTAGTGTTGAATGGTCGGATTTGATCGGAAGATGAACCTCCAAACACATTTCTTTTTAGTAGGCATTAACTAGAAAGATTTGTGGATATCACTGCCAAGGTTGGGCTTGATATTTCTAAATAAATTGAGCATTTGTTAGAAAGTTAATGATAAATATATATTTTGTGATATCCCAATGAGTAGAAGATTGTATTTCTGACGTTTCATGACTTAATACAAACCACTTCTTCAGAATAAATAACTAACCGAGTCGGTCATTTATTTTCTCTGAGGAAGTGGTTCAAATTAAGTCACGGAACGTCAGAAATACAATCTTCTACCCATTGGGATATAACAAAAATATAATTATTATTAAAAGGATTCGCTTAGAAATAATAGGAAGCTAAGTTTTTCCCAAATTCAAATATCTGCTGGTGGGAATTTGTTTAGTAATCACAATAACTCAATAATAAATACTTAATGCTGTGGTGTTTAATGAACTGACTTAATGGCTGGTTAGTGGCTTATATACTCTTTCATAATCTTTAAATTACCTAGGTTGTTAAGTATACAAGTTAACGTCTCAATGGTTCTGTATAATTTTGTCTAACCTATTCTATTGAAGTGTCTTTAAAATAAAAATGTGTGATGTTATAAAATGTTGTATTATTTTCGATTTCAGTTATTTACCAGATCTAAATGCAGCAGCTGCCGCAGCAGCTAGTATGGACCCTTATCTAAATAGACTTGCAGCGGGCTATGCAATAAATAATGCAGTGGTCACTACACCTGCAATATATCGAACTAACTCAAGCTATCAACGTTTCTCGCCTTATTAAAATCGAATGTAATTCCATCAGCCTTTGTTCGTTTTCGTTATATAGCTAGCCTTATTAGGTGGAATGCACTTCTGCTAATATTGATTATTAGTTGTAAAGCTCATTTTATGCAGTTATAATCATCTGCTCGTGTTTATTTGCCCTTATTTATTTCCTGTTAGTTTTGGTGTGCATTGTTCGTCTAAAGAAATTGATTCGACGCATAAATAGGATAGATTGACGTGCTTACAAAAAACAGTAATTTATTCTCCCTTTAAGATTGGGGGTCTTTTTTTACTACCTACCGTGATTGATTGGTATTATTAGGTTATGCTGAATATCCAGAATGTGTGGAAAGGAAGGCACATATGAAAGATCAAAGTATATCGGAGGCAATTTCTTGTGAATGTAATATATGAAATGCACAAAGCAACACCTGTTGCTTGTCCGTCTACTCAGTTTGCTTGCATATCTTACTGTTGAGAGTTGATGACTTCCAACTAAACAAAAAGCACACATTTCAGGTACTTTTTGTTTAGTGTTAAGTACGTCTTTGTATTTGGTGCATGCACTCCAATTTTGAAATGTGACTGATTATTGCTACTGTTGCCACTTTCTGCTACTTCTAATACTGTTTGTGTATATCACTTTACAAGTATGTGCTCATGTATGTCTACTTATGTTTTTATACATAAAATTTAAATCCTGTTTTTGATGATGACAATGATGGTACGGATTTTAGTTTCTTTTGTTATCTCTTAAAATTCTAATAATTTGCATTTAAAAACATGCACATGCCTGGTGGGATAAAAATAACTTTCCTATCTATTATTCTCTTCATATTCTAACACCTACCTATTTCTATTATTATTTCTACTGAAATAATCAAGTACGCTGAATGCCTAAACATTTACTAATGATGCCTTGTTATATATGCTTTCTGCAAAAAATAAATAAGGTAACACTTTTCTCCAAGAAAGGCAGAGTTGTGTATACGTCTATTTTGTTTTGATTGAAATGAGTTGAGTGAAATATAGGTTTCTTCTGCTCCATTTATTCGTTCGTTAGTTGGTTTGTTGATCTGTTTGCTTTTTTCAAACTTAACTAGTAATTTTAATAGTATTATGAGATTTATATGCTATTTATAATCAAGCATGTGATATGTTTTAACCAGTAACCATATAATGTTAAACCAACAAATATCTTTGTAGCATTTTGATTCTCTTATTCTCATACATACGTGTTTTCGAAGTGTACCTATCAGTTCACTTGACGTCTATGAAAGTTTGTTACCATTTCTCTTCATTATGTTGAGAAACATCATTCTTATTTGAATGGTTTGTTTTATATTTTCTTTGAAGGTATAATCTATAGTATTTTCTGATCGGAATTTTATTATTATTTGTATTCTTTGACTACTATTATGTTACATCAATGTTCTATGCTACATAATATTTCATACATTGTATTTTCCTCATAATTATTATTTATTAGTGACTGAAAAATTTCTTTATAACTGCATTTTTTTTACTTTTTAAATGAGTTGTGATTACTTCATTGTCCAAGTCTTTTCCTTTTTGTTTCTATATCTACTTATCTTTATTTCAGTAAACAAAAAAAATGAAATAAAATTAATTCACTTATCCAGAGTTTTTATTCTGAATTAAGTTGGCACACGCTTATGCATAATATCGGTTGATAATTTATAGAGATTACACTAGCTTCAGTACATAAGTTAGATTTGCCAAATATATAACAATTTTAAACCTCCATATTTTGAATTTTAACATTAACGCTGCACCAGATCAGTTCTAGTAGTACTGAAAGGAAATCTTGTCTGATTCGCAGTGACAGGTTCGAATAACGAAAGGATTTCATGTAAACGGCTACTGTGCATTTGTATATTTTAGTAAGTGATACCAACATTATAGTTAATATGTCAATAAGCAGTTGATTAAGACACCATACAGGTTATTTGTAAAAGTAGATAGTATGCATTCACTTACCATACTATACATATTACGAAAGTCCATAAACAACTGATTTCTCGAGACAATCTGATGAACGAAATAGAAATAACTACCAACAAATTACATGTAACCGAAAACTACAACACGCTACTTGAAGGGTTCTATGTGATATCAAATGCCAAGGACATATCATATTATTCATTTTGTTCTATTTAAATGGCTTTTATGGCATATATTGAACAGTAATTGAGTATATAATTGTTTGTATGATCACAAATAGAGGGTTCCAGATAACAACAAAGTTATTATCATTTGACTGCGAATATGAATAGCTCGTGATTACATTTGGTCGAGAGAGATGCTGTTAAGTAAACAATAAAATGTATTTATTTTGTTAGGTTGTTTTTGTGGCTTATATATTCCTCAGAGTACGTCAATACAGATTTTATGTAATCTGCAAAAACTAATGGCTAAAAAAGGTGAATCTACATTAACGACATGACAGACAATGACCATACTTATATAATTAAAAGTGACCAATATGATAAAATAAGTGATTTAGTCTTTCAGTACCTACTGTTAGTTTGAAATTTGCACATTTCCAACTATGACTACATGATAATTGTAAACTTTAACCGGTTTTAGATGAGAAACGCAATAGCGCTAGAAACTACTTGATGAGTAGTCATTTTGTACTTTCCTAATGTATGTTACTCTTATTACCATATAAGAGGGTAATAGGGCCCTAACTCGCTTACGAAACATGTGCAAAGGTGAGATTTGTTGTAAAAATCTAAATAATTAAAAAACTATGTTCCTGGAGTTCCCCAGATTACTTTTAGTGAGCAACAAAGAAGGTGGACTGAAACGATGATTTACTCAACCAGGTGTCTATATAACGAACTTTACTGATGTAGCTAAATCACTTCTAAAGACTAACCAAAATGAGGTTGGTTAATGCTTTGCAAATGATTATTGTGAGCATATCATTTTCATAACAGTTTGGTTGGAGCTTTGTTAACATTATTTAGTTTAAGACGAGATATCCCATGAACACCAGTTCCATCATCATACTGAATTTATATTGCGAACTACACTGCAAGGTCACGTATAGAGAGCAGCTGACAGATATATTCCAAGTGAAGACCGGTATCAAACAAGAATGATTATTCTCACTCCTCTTTCTTCTGATAGTTAACTGGATTATGAAGACCTACACATTTCAGAGGAAACAAGGAATACAATGGACAACTTGGATGCAACTAGACGATCTGGACTCCTCAGATAACCTAGCTCTTCTATCCCATACACAGCAACAAATTCAGGTGGAGGCAGCCAGTATAGCACCAGTGCGCCTCAATATACATAAGGGATAAAACAAGATCCTGTAATACAATACAGTGAACATCAGTCAAATCAATCTTGATGGAGAAGCTCAGGAAGAGGTGGAGTGTTTTACGTACCTGGACAGCACCATCGATAAACAAAGAGAATCTGATAAATATATAAAGGCATAGGTTGCTGAAGCGAGGGAAACATTCCCACAACTGGAGAACATACAGGGCTCAATACAACTGTCAGATAACATAAACGTCAGAATCTACAAAGCGGACGTCAAGACAGTTCTGTTGTACGGCGCCGAAACTTGAAGAACAACCACAACCATCATCGAAATATACAGGTATTTATAGACAGTTATCTATGCAAGATACTGCAGATCCGTTGGCCAGATACCGTCAGCAATAGCCTACTATGGGAGGGAACAAATTAACTTCCAGTTGAAGAGGAAATTAAGAAAGGATGCTGGAGGTGGATGGAATATACATTGATGAAATGATCAACTTGTATCATTAGGCAAGCCTTGAATTCGAATGCCGAAAAAAAGGGAAAAGTGGCAGATTAAAGGACACACAGCCGGGTACTTGAAATAGACATCAAAATGATGAATATCAACTGGAAAAAACTGGAAAGGACAGCCCATGACAGTTGGTTGGAAAATCCTGGTCTGTGACCTATACCCTCTCGAGGGGTGACAGGCATAAGTAAGTATAAGTTCCAAAATTCTGAACCCTTAGTCCACAGCTTATTATGATTATCTAGAGTGATCCAACAACTAAAACGTTTTCTTGCAAATCCCAGATATGCCCAACCATTTTGGACGACAGCTTCTCTATTAACATAAAGCATTTCACAGTGCAGTAAAGCATTGTCTCTTATGTTCTGCTTTCATTCATAAAATAATACGGTATCCACACTAAGTATAAATCAAAATAATAATGCTCACAGACTTTAAAGACGTCGTCTTCAACCAAAAAGCATTAGGAGGAATGACAGTTAAGTTAATATCACACAAGAAGAGCCGCGTTACAATTTTGAAAAAGACATTTTTCGACCAGCAATTTAAGATGAGCAAGATAGATGGAATTTATGTGGAAAACTCGACACAATTTATTTACAGAATGATTTTTTGTTATTTCTGAATAACTTCTTCCTTACTTTTCCTGAAGACATACTATGATACAAGACTGATTAATAAAACGACCACAAAAATATCAAGCGCAAAATGTGTGGAGTAAAGTAGTCATATTTTATGAATCTACATACTTATATATTGTAAGCTTGAGTGACGATAATATAGGAAACTGTAGTTATATATGTCTGGGGTAAAACTGGAAAATTTAATATCCAAGACTGTCATACCCAGCAACAAATTATGACACTAATTAATAGAAATAAATTTATATATATATATATATATATATATATATATATATATATATATATATAGCTGACTCGAAGACAGATGGTCTTCTAAAAATGCACATAAATGTATATATGGCAAGTAAAGTGTAGGAAAATTGTTTATTGTGCTAAACAAAACAACAGAATTGAAAAATTTGTACAAAGTCCCTAGTTAACAAAATGTGCTGATCAGTCCACAATGTTGAGCTATTCGATTTGTCCTAATGGTAGAATCAAGCCATTTTGTTTTGGATGGAAAGCGGAATGACTGCCTTCTTTGGTAATTTTATTGCCAGTTTCCGAATCAAGGAATACTAGTTTCAAGCAACTGATGGAAATCGTCTCTTTAATGGTATACAAGCACTATCGGGGCCGATAAAGCGAAGTAACTTAGGGCTCAATATTTTCTTATTTTCTTTGTGGCGGCTAAGTAGGTGTGGTATAACAGGTTTCGTCCATAGGCGGACGTAAATCCGGAGGCTTTTAAGTGTTACAGTGCTATTTGATCTTTCATATTTCTCACTAACAAACTTTGCAGAAGAATCTGAAGTAGAACCATATGCTAACTGGAAAATCGCACAGTTGCTGCTCTCTTTCAAAACATAGCAGAGGTCGAGGAGAAAAGCTGGACTCCAAAACACGGTGGAATATGACAAAACTGATTCCTCACCACTGTTCTATATCAATGCTTTGCGCGAGGAACTAAGCACTTTATTTTTCTCATTGAGGAGATCTGTAGTTGATTCCATCTCTTGTGCACAGTGTGGTACAGAGCATCGAATGAAATTGCAGATAATCTTAGAAATACTTTGTTTCTTTCCTGAGTTAGCTTCCAGTTAATGAGTCATCGCCATAGCCTTAGTAATCAACTCCATTTGTGCCAATGTGATGTTTGAAAAACCATACTAAGTAATGTCGAAAATACTGTAGGGCCAGTGAAATGCCACTGAGACCTAGCAAAATCATACGGCAGTTGAGTCAATGAATGACGGACAGTTCACTGATCCTCATGTACATTTTTGCATAAGTATAACACTCTTACCTCATGTGACACTGTACTTTAACAGGTATAGTGCTATTTTTCTCTACTTGTCAATGCTACTCACATACCACTTTAGTGTGATTTTCGAAAACAGACAGTTTTTCAAATTAAAGAAGGAACGAATTGAGCGAAGAAATTTCTTTTCAATTAGTTTTTCATTTATATATATATGATTTACAATAATGATATAATACTCATCGAGTGGATACGTTACGTAATAGTTACATAATGACATTTAAATTAACATTGAGTAGTTGGAAGAAAGAAGATTATTAATATTCAAAGTAACTATTAAATCAAGAAGTTGCTACGTTGCGTAATATATGAAAAGAGAAGAAACAGAATTTTTTAATGGATGGTCAGTAGGATAGTAGTTACGTAAGAATCAAGAGATGAATGTTGAGAAGTTATAAAGTTCAAAAGCAACAGAAACAAAATTACAAAAGTTAAAAAAAACAAGTGGAAGAAGTATGAAAAATAGTTCTTTTGAAGGAAATCTTATACTGATGGCCAGAGCAGAGAAAGTGGTTGTACGAATCTCTTTTGAATGCAAAGGTCAGGTTTGTGAGCATGGATTGCGATGGCTTCTGCAATGTACAAGAGGCGCACTCGTAAACGATGTGGCAAATTTAATGGGATACTGCAGTTAACCTTAAAAGCTTTATTCAATTCAACTTGATGACCTGTTTCAACCAAGTGAGAGAGAACAGAACTTTTAATCACTTTTACTTGTCCTTTGCTTAATGTACAAGGGGGCTATGTAGTGTCGGTTGCTATGTTAAACCCATATACCTTATTCTAGCTTCTGGACAGGTCAATTTATCTATTCTTCTTGAGTTATATTTTGACCTTGTTAATTATTCATTTATCAACCCTGACTTTTTATGTGAGC